GCGAATACCGTTTGGTGATTCTGAGTGTCAGGTACGCGACCCTCGTCGACACACTCCCAATTTTTACAACGTTGTTAACGAGAGATTTGTGGACGACAAATCCGACACCCCCTTGGGACAGATGGTCGCGCTCCCGGTGATAGAACAAGTTGCCGGACTCGAGGATTACCGTGTCCCCCCCCTCTCTTCGGACCTCAGATAATCCAATAATATGCGAGCGCAACTTGTTTACCTCTTCTTCCAGCTCTAGTATCTTCTCGTCAGTCCTCAGGGTGCGTGCGTTATACGTTGCTAGGTCGAGTCGTCGTAAGTGGCAACCGAACCTCCACCGGAGTTTTTTAGCACCCCCTGCCCCGCCGTTACCATGGTCACCACCGTAGCCAGGAATAGCGGGGCCGCCGGGGGACTGGGGGGCCGTTTGTTTGCGTCGTTGCTCATGGCTCATATTTGCCATAGTTGCCACGCTTGGCGAGCGGGTTGGCAATCACAGTTTTTTATTATGTTATTGTTGTTATTAGGAAGATGCTGCGCCCATCTTCTTTCTGTGTCCCTCTGTCGCCTCTTACGACACCCACGGGAAGATATGGGGTAGTGGATATTCTCAACCGCCACTACACGAGGTCATCATCATCATCTTCTTTACAGCTCTTCACAAATCCGCTGCTGAATATAGGAATACCATTCTTACATTTTTGCGGATGACCTTAAGATGTTAAGGCCAATAAGAAACATGGTTGACAGTGTATTGCTACAAGAGGACATTAATAGATTGTGTAATTGGTGTAAAGACAATAAAATGCTATTGAATGAGAAAAAGTGCCACGTCATTTCTTTCTCCCGTAACAAAGAATCTTATTTATTCCAATATAAGATAAATAACACACTTTTATAACCGGTTAATATTATTCGAGATCTTGGTATTATGATTGACAGCAGATTAAGTTTTAATAATCACCTAGATGATATCATAAGGAGATCCTCCAGAATGTTAGGTTTTATTATGCGGAATTCTAAATAATTTAAGTACCCTAAAACTATTATATTGCTATATTATAATACATTGGTGAGGAGTATTCTGGAATACTGTCCTCAAGTCTGGAATCCATTTTATGAAATTCACAAGAACAGTATTGAAAAATTCAAAAGCGATTTTTGTGTTTTTTATGTCACCACATTCACATTTATTAAATTCATAAATTCATAACTTAAATATTTTAAAATTACAACCCTCAAAAATAGAAGGAAAACACTAGATCTTGTATTTTTGCATAAATTATTGAATAACCATAATTATAAACTGTGCGCAACTTTTAAGTAAAATTAATATATCTGTACAAAATAAGTTACCGCGCTTTAAGGTTTACAAGCTGTTCAAAGAACGTCTCTGTAAAAGTAATTTAGGTCTCAACTCCCCACTTATCAGAATGATGTCATTATACAACCAAATACCAAATTCAATGGAAATAGACATAATGTATACACCGTTGGCTAGATTTAAGTATTTGATCCAAAGAAATTGAAATATGTATTAAAATTAGTAGATTTATTGTTATTATTATTAATATTGTATAGACTCTAAGCATTAAATCCACAAACAGTAGCTATAGCAAATCTGCTTATTTATGTATACTTATTAGCATATTATTGTTATCTGTATTATAATGTTTCCTTATTTAAAAAAAAAACCAACTCGCTTTTTATGTAAGTTGTGGTTACCTGTAAGAAGATGAACACGTAACATATATTCACCGTGTATATTTTTGATTGTATTTGTAGTAGTTATCATCTGTTGGTGATCCAAATAAAGAGAAAAAAAATGCCATAAGGTGCTGTGCAAATGCACCTGAATCTATAATACTTAGTTTAAATTTACACATTAATCTCAAAATATATCTTCGTCATCACGTACGCGTACGTTATATTATATTTTACTAAGCAAATTACAAATTGTAATTATCTTTTCTCCCAGCCAGTTAATCTCCGTTGTTGATTAACCTAATAACCTAGAAGAACCTTCTATCAGGTTTACGCGGAGAATGTTATAAAAGGATACAGGTTAATCCGTTTTAATTTTCTTTAGTTTAATACCATTGTTTATACACTAAGCAAAAGCATTTTTGTTATATGAATGACAATATGCTACATAACGCGAGGTGTTGCCGTGCTGCATGATTTTTGCTGCAATGTGGGATATATATACACAGTAAAGCCATAGTGTAGCCATATTATGATTGTAATACGAATGGATTGGCCCGATTGGGGAAGGCCAAATCACTGACTACCAGCATAAAATATTAGCTTAATGAAGCTGTGTTTCGTATGGTGAGTGTAGAGAATCGAAGACCCTTTTTATTAGATACGAGGCATTCCATCTTAGTCCTCAGGGTCCGCATATGTATTTTGATTCCTAGTCGATGTTAAATGTGGATGTGTATGAGCTTACAGTATTCACATGCAATCAGGTGGACTGATTGCTCGTTGTTCACTTTTAATATACAAAAAAATAATATATTGTAGCATACGTTTATGTGCCTTGTCGCAATTTTGCATTTAATATCGTAAGTACGTCGGATCAAATAATTTCTTCTTGTGGCAAAATGTGGTACCTTGTGTCTAAAATTGATTTTATTAGACATTAGACATTTTGATATTTCAACACAATATCCACTTCTCCATATCATCTCGTGGGTGTTGTAAGATGCGACAGAGGGAAACAAATCAAGAGATGAGCATCTTCCTAAAAAGGACTAAAAATAAAATCTGTGGCTGCAATCCCGCTTGCCAAGACTTATGTTCTTCGGTGGACACTAATAGGCTATAACGATAACAGCGAAATGTATATAAATAGTTAAGTTTATATTATAATTCATTTATTCGTCCAAATAATAATAGTGAAGAAAGTAAAATTTCTTATACATAACCTGTTTGCTGTTCTTTCTGAGCTAGCGGGATAACATCTCTCGGATTCCGTACAGAAGTATATCCGTACATCTGACAAGAGTAAGGGACAATAAACTAGTTTCACGAGCAGTTCAGACTTGATGCAACATTTCAAGGGGCACATACATCATTGGACGAAGCAGCCCAAGTGTGATTTATAACCCCGATATGAGGACGCAGCAGACCCTCTAGGATTACATAAGTTTCACGATAAAATCGTCTTTATACACAAGTATTGAAGCAACTGCGGTTGAAGAAAATGGCAGCAGTTCGAAATAAATATTAAGATATTGGAAAACATTTGATCAAATTAATGAACATAAATGGAAAATCTTTTTGATTTTTTTCTTTAATAATTAAATCAATGATAGCTCAGGGGTCAGAACTAAGTCTGATCTCCGCCCGACGGGCACTGATGAAATTATTTATCTGCGTTGAAGGAAAATAAAAAGGAAACCTGCATACCCGAGCAATAGAGTATATTGTGTACATCAAACATGCAATGGAGCAGTACTTCGAAGGAAGGGGTAGAGGTTTGAAAATTGTTTCATAGCTCTCTGAAATATGAAAAAAGGTATGGGCTCAGTAGTGTATTCACACACATAGAGATAAAAAACATTTCTAAAGTTTTATCACCTTAGTACGATATTCCGGAAAAGCACAACACTGCGTCATCTTCGCGAAAAAGAGACCCCTCAACCTGTCTCCTACTTTCCGTGATCATATCATATAATGTCCGACTCCGATTATACGATTATTTTACACAATGTTGGGGTTATTTTAGTTTTCAGTCATATTTGGCCTGGCATTATCAAGCACAATTGAATTACTTTGGACTCGGTAGAAAGACAGTCTACAAGTAGCGTAGCGTTTTTTTCATCTAAGTAGATACTATCCTGATGCCTATTTCTGTCGCTAAGGAGTTATACCGCTGTTATACAGGCTGTAAGGCTTTCCATTCGTTTGTTATTTTCAGTTTATAAAGAAAGAATTTTGATTAAGGGAGATGGTTAAAATGTGCACTAAGCTGTACAAAAATAAGACTATTTCTAGATAATTGCGAGAATCAGGCGTTACTTTGCGGAAATCCATTATAATAACGATATTAATATTTAATTCGCAACGTAATATTAAATTGAAAACGTAGTACAGTCTACATCACCAGAAGATGCCTCGTGTGCCAGGCGAAACACGTGTCGTATTATCGTCGATGGTGTGTCTTTCTTGGAATAGTGGCGTTGAGAGTAGTGGTGCCGGGAGTAGTGTTGTTGGGAGTAGTGGTGCTGGGATTAATGGTGACGGGATTAGTGCACGCAATTGAGGGAGGGCGGGAGGTGCTCTTCAATCCAGGTAAGACACATCATTGTATTTAATTGAGCGGATGGTTGCGGATTAAATATTAATATCTTTAAGACTGTTTCCATTAATTAAAATAAGACAAAATAAGAATGTTAAATAACTATTAACATTTCATAGCAGCGGTTGAAAAATAATCAAGTTTAAAAGTATTTAAAGTCATTTCTCCTCTTTGAAGTCACTCTATAGCAACCTTAATGTGGCCATACTTAAAAAGATCAGAGTAGGGAAAAAAACAATTGCTAAACTCATAAAAATACTTTGTTTATGATTGTATAAAAACAAGCCTTTAATTAATGAATAAATACATCAAAATACACTAAAGGATAGGATTATATTTATTTGTTTAATACAGCAACAGCTTAAACATGTAGCGTTACATTATAGGATAGGGTTATTTTACTTTAGTACTTGAAACACTGAATCCGTCCGTCAAGCATCAAAACAGTCAAAGCGTCAATGTCAGTCTTGTGAGATGAGACTTTTCAGTTTTCAGGTATACAAAAAGTATAAAGTACTCTATGCTTGATCTGATTCGCGCCGTATTTCGGTATAATAATTATGTAAGCTTTTCCTTCGTATTTGTGTTTTATTACATTTTACTTTTATTATAAGTGCTGTAGCCCCACGTGAGTGCTCCACTAATTATAAACGGTGTAATACTTAATTTTAATAAGGAAAATGAACCTTTTACAAGCGTATGTTTACTGTGGTATCATTGTTAGAGAACGCATCAGGCGGCATGTAATATCATCACTACCTCCTGATATGGCTGTTCTTTTATCGGAGTGGTTAACTTTTGAGGTAAGCACTAGTTTCGCTAAGTAAAATATTTCTAGACTATTACTTACCTACAACATTTACGAGAAGAATCAGATTGAGACATTATTTATTTACACTATAATCTTAATTCGACGGCTTAGAATCTTAGATTAATGAATATTTTGTTTTTCCTTAACAGTTGTCACCTCATAGCTGCGTCCGCGGTGCCTGCTACGACACGCTAACAAGATTCCTTGCAACAAATTCAAGGGAAAGCCACCATAGTCATAATAATGTTTGTTGTGGCTGTGGTACATCTGTTACATGTGCAAGAAAACACAGCATTCCAGAATTTAGTTCTCTCGCCTCAGTTGTATCATCATGGTATCACAATGTAAGTAATTTTATTTTTATTATTCGTTAAAACTCATTGCAAATAAGACACAATAAACAATCGCTGTGGTAATGTGAATCTATAAACTGGAATATTTATAAAGGTGATGTACTGTTAACTAAAACTAACTTATCAAAATAATCAATCTGTATTAAAGCTTTCTAAAATACATATTGGGATTCCTCCTCTGACTGTGGTTGCTATTAGACGTGTGTTAGTTACACTAATTAAATATTCCTTTTAAATAACCGGCAACTTTAATTAACAGCGAAGTACTAGGAGTTCATATAATCAATGTGGTGTCTATCCGTGACTGTGTGTGTATCGTAGTACATTTGTTTTTTGCGCATCTGCTGACCGCGTGTCGTCTTTTGTTCTCTGAACAACCTACTTATAGTGTACTTCCGCCACAACGAAAACTACGGACTTAAATAAAATATCATTATGTCGATAATACGTAGATCACCCCCAGGAAGTAAAGTGCATCAAGTGTCGTCGGAGAGTGATATTTCAAACATTGAACCTGAAAATCCACTCAATTATGTAGGGAGGAGACAGAAAAAACCCAGAAATGAAGATCAAAGGAAAGGTATTGATGATTCCCTTAAAGATGAACTATTATCCATGCTCACCAATTGAAAGAAGGATCAAGATCTTATTTTGAGTAAATTGTGTTCAAATATTGCCGAACTTAAGCAACAAAACGCCAACATTCAATCAACTAATATTGAAATGGAAAAGGCGTTAACGTTCATATCCACACAGTATGAAGATATGAACACTAAAATTATCAATTTAGAACGTGAATGAAAGGAAAATTATAATTATATATTGAGTCTGGAAAATAGATTAGAAGACGTGCAAAAAAGGCTTAAGTCCACAGTCATCGAGTTCCGTAACTCCAGCACAAAACATAAAGCAGGAGACACAACAAGACTTATGTGATCTGGTTCAAAAGATTTGCGATGTTTTAAATGTCAGTTTTCACCCATCCGAGATAAAAGACATATACAGAATTAAAACTAAACCCTGTGTGTCTACTGTCATCACTGAGTTAACTTCGGTACTGTCAAAAAATAAGATATTAAGTGGAGCGAAAGAGTTTAATAAAATTAACATTAATAATAAACTCTCCTCAAAATCTATTGGTCTTTCTAGTTCTACAATGCCGATATATATATCTGAAAGTTTAACAAAGAAGGACCGAAAACTTTATATTTTAGCACGTGATACAGCTAAAACAATGAATTACCATTATTGCTGGACTAATAAGGGCCGAATTTATTTGCGGAAAACTGAAGGTGGCGCTCGGATAGAAATAAAAAATGAAAATGATATTGCAAATTTAAAAAATATAATATGACTACGTACATTTATAATATTATGTGTAACCTATTTAATTATGATTTCTTATAAATTGCTTGCATATCTAACTAAGTGTGTCTCTGGCTTTATGTTTACAAAATTATTCTGTGTGTATTCTAAACTACCCACTGTTTACTTTTATAATATACTAGTTTATAAACTAATAACACATCAACCCACAAAATATTTACAAACAAATAATATATACACGCTCGACTATTTTTATAACCTCACACAAAAAAACATGCACATTCAACTCTCAAACCAAATTAACGCTCTCACAAATTACATAATATTTGCTTTTTGCACACATTCATGGATATATTTAATATGCTTAATTATTCTTATTTTCGAATTCAAGTTAAAATCTTGTTTATGCTACCTATTTAAAAACATAACTAAAAGGCACTGCATTAAGTGACCTATTAAATAATCTGGATAATACTTCCTTTAATGAAGCAATATTATGTAATCCCGAAAAATGTGCTGATTTGCTTACGTCTTATCATAGTTGTCTCACTATTTTGTCTCAAAATATTCGTAGCATCAATGCTAATCTTTCAGGACTTTTAACGTTATTAGAAAGAATTAATACTTGCTGCGACATTATCGTTCTTTCTGAATGCTGGCTATCTTGTAATCCTATAATTCCGATTCTCAATGGATATGATCATTATAAAACTTCAAAACACTACAATAAAAATGACGGTGTTATTATATACATCAAGTCTTGTTTAGCTAATATTAAAGTAAAAGAACCTATAACAATTGAATGTAACTGTCTGGTGATTACTATAGGTGTGGATGTGGCTATTGTTGCTATATATAGACCACACGCTTTTGTTGATCCTTCAAAATTCTTTCAGTCTCTGGTTCTTGTCCTCACGGACCTTAAATCATACCGAACCATTATTCTTGTAGGAGACATTAATATAAATATTGCTAACGGGTTTCATTCTTCAAATACTTTAGATTATCTTGATCTACTTGTTCATCATGGACTTCTTCCTGGTCACAACTTCCCAACTCATGGTTCTACCAGTCTTGATCACGTTAATTTAAAAACTGCTTTTTCCGCTAAGGTTCTAGTTCTGGAAACTACTGTAACAGACCACTTTGCCGTTATGTTTGCCCTCTCAAAAATTAAAATGAAATTATGTAATCGTAAATTTATAAAAAAAAATAAATGAAGATAAGCTTATTCATGAATTACGCTGTATTAACTTTAACTCTGTATACACAACGAATGACCCTAACTTAGCTGTTCAATTCTTGGTCGAACCTATTATTTCAGCTATAGCCAACAATACCAAAACTTTATTTCTGTCTTGTAGACGTAGACCTATTAAGCCTTGGATCACTCTGGCTTTGTTGAAATGCATGCGAAACAGAGATAGATTATTTATAAAATCGAAAAAAGACCCATCAAATCAGATTCTTAGAATTACCTATAAAAGATATCGCAACTTCTGTACCAACCTCCTGCGAAATGCAAAAAGTAATTATGAGAAGCTGGAATTTCAAAGAGCCGGCAAAAACTCCAAACAACTGTGGAAAGTCATTCAAACTGTTACAAATTTATCTAAACAGCAATCAAAGGCGTCTGATCTCCTAGACATCAACGAAATTAATACTCAAAAGTCTGTTGAGGATATAAACATATATTTTTCTAATATAGGAAAATCACTAGCAGACAAATTAGAAGGGAATAACCGGCTCCGTTACTTATTCCAACTCCTTTGTTTTGCTTGAAACTGACGAGAGTGAAGTCGAACGCTTGATTATGTCTTTGGATAACAACCGAACAACTGGTTAGGACGGTATTTCTACAGAATTCTTAAAGAAGCACAAAAATGTTACTATTTCACCTCTTAAATATGTTTGTAATTTGAGTATTCAGACAGGTATTTTCCCTGATTTGTTTAAAAAGGCAATAGTTCACCCTATTTTTAAATCCAGAGAGCGAAATCGTATCGAAAACTACAGACCTATATCAGTTTTGCCTACGATGTCGAAGATCCTCGAGAAAATAATTAACACAAGGCTTGTTAATTATTTAGAGACTAATAAACTGCTCTCTAAAAATCAATTTGGTTTTCGAAAATATTGTGCACATCTGATGCTGTCCACAGCCTTATTGATTTTGTAGTCAGGAATCTAGACATACGTCAAAAATGTATTGCCTTGTTTCTTGACCTTACAAAGGCGTTTGATACTGTTTCGATACCGATCCTAATTTCAAAACTTCAATCTTTTGGAGTAAGAGGAATTCAGTTATCTTTATTCCAAAGTTATTTAAGTAATAGAACTCAACGTGTTAGGATTGGTCCTTATAGTAGTTCTGACCTGCAAATTACATACGGTGTTCCGCAGGGAAGTATTCTCGGCCCAAGTTTGTTTTTAGTATATATAAATGACTTGTGTAACATCAATCTTTTAAACGGGGTGATCTTTTCCTACGCAGATGACACTGCACTTGTGTTTCATTCGAATACTTGGACTGAAACCTATACCCTTGCGCAAAAAGGGTTTGACGTTGTAAAGAAATGGTTAAACGCGCATTTACTTACGTTGAACATTACAAACAACATTAATAGACTTTTCTATTCGAAACACAAAAAATTCAACAACAAACTCATTACAAATCGTTGTTAAGCCTCCCCTTGATATAAGAAATAGTACAGACAATAACGACCTACACTATATAAAAAAGTGACATCTATAAAATATCTTGGAATTATAATTGATAATAACCTCACATTTAAAGCTTATATTGAACACCTGTCAAACGGAGTCCGTAAACTTATTTACATATTTAAACAATTACGTCAATCTGCAGATTCAGAAATCATGAATATGGTTTATATGGCATTGTGTCAATCTATTTTATCTTATTGCATATCCACGTGGGGTGGTGCGGCTAAAAGTAATTTTATACAACTTGAACGGGCACAGAGAGCTGTCTTAAAAGTATATTGTTTCAAACCGCGTATGTTTCCTACAGACCAACTTTACGACTATTGCCAAGTACTAACAGTTAGACAATTATTCATTTTAACCACCGCTCTCAAACAACATGCCTCAACCAAATATATCCCTGAATGGACACGACGTAACCAACTAGTTGCAAAGTCTACTCAAGTCAAAACTGCATTTAGTCATAGATTCTTCATATTCCTTGGCCCCTATTTATATAATAAATTGCATAAAACCTTATCCCTCTTTTCCCGAAATCAATATGCGTGCAAAAATATTATTCTCCAGTGGCTCCTTAAGCAAACCTATGCAAAAACAGAACGTCTTTTAGAGGTTGTCGTGTAAAATACACACACACCTACATACATACATGCACACACACACACACTCCCACTAACACACACACATACACACACGCATACTCTCTCTCTCTCTCTCTCTCTCTCACACACACACACACACACACACACACACACACACACACATACACACACACACACACACACACACACACACACACACACACACACACTGTTCTAAGTTTTCTTAACCATAACCAATTATTTCAATTAGGTATGACAAATAAGGAATCAGAGTTAAACTTTAGGTGTTAATGTTTTAGATATAATAGCATTCCTCGCAGAGGTGGGGACCTGGTGACCTATAATACGGGTATCTTACCCACCATGGGCACCAGCGATCCACGGGCAAAGCTGTTTTACTTTACTTATAGGCTACTTATAACTCTAAATGTAACTTTGTTTTGTGGCGAGAAATAAACGTTATTATTATTATTATTATTATGGAATATCTATATAGATTTCTCATCTGGTTGGGATCTATAAATATATAATTATAAATGAAAATGAAAAGATAAATATACATAAATATCAATAAAATAAAATAAATACAAAAATACATAAATAAATAAAAGCCCAACCAGATGGAAGCCCTCAGCAGGGGAGACCAAACGGCCGAGGGTTAGGGGGAAAGGGAAAGAAACCGGCGGACGATGCGGGCGGTATCGAGGAGCACCGCCTTTTGAATTTGAGCCCGGAGCGGTCCGTCACGGAGTCCCAGTCGCCTCAGATGACCCGAAGGGCTGACTGGGATTAGCCCATTCGGAGAGACGACTACAGGAATAATTTCGGCCGGCAGACCACCCCACATATCGGTCACCTCGTGAGCCAGGTCCAGATACTTTGTTCGTTTATCTGTTTCGGCTTTCACGAGGTTCTCGTCATACGGAATGGTAATGTCGACCAAAAATATCCTTGACTGTGCCCCGTCCATCAGCACAATATCAGGCTTATTCGCAAGAATAGTCCTGTCTGTGATGATGGCCCGGTCCCAATAGAGCCTAGCGCGGTCATTTTCGAGCACGGCTTCCGGCAAGTACTTGTAATACGGCACTTTCCGGCCCACGAGACTGTATTTCAAAGCGAGCTCCTGGTGTAAAATTCTGGCTACTAGGTTGTGCCTGTGCAAGTACTCAGAGTTAGAAAGCGCCGAACAACCGGAGATGACATGCCTAAGTGACTCACCGGGATGGCGACAAGCTCAACAGACGTCGACGGTGCCATCCTTAAGGATGTATCTCCGATAGTTGTTGGTCTTAATAACCTGATCCTGTATTGCACAGACAAAACCCTCGGTTTCCCCGAAGAGGTCACCGAAACGTAGCCAGTTGAGGGAGGCGACTGTATCTACGAAGGGCTCATGTAGAACCCTGTAGTACCTCCCGTGGAGCTCCTTCTCCTTCCACACGGTCTCCCGGTCGGAAATGCTTAGTACTGCCGGGTCCTCCCATTGCTCGTTGGCTAAGGATAGAGGAGTAAGTCCTTTATCACTAGAAATGACGTCATTATAGAATGGATCATCCGATCTCACCAGGAAGTAATTACGGAGGCTGCACACTTCGCGATTATGCATGGTGAGCGCGCTCAGGAAGCCACGCCCACCATGCTTTCGCGGCAAGTACAGCCTCATTACCGACGGTCTCGGATGATGCATCCTATGGGACGTCATGGTAGTGCGAACTTTTCTATCCAGGGCGTTAAGTTCGGTCTCAGTCCACCTGAGTATGCCAAAGGTATACATGAGGACAGGCATGACCCAGCCGTTATATGCGTGTGCCTTATTCACACCGGACAAAAGGCTGTTAAGCACTTTGGTCAAGCGTGCATAAAACGTGTCGCAAACTGACTGTTTCATACCAGCCTCATCGATACCGATGTTCTGTGACATACCCAGGTATCGATATGTTTCAGCCTCGGAAAGGGACCTAAAGTTGACGGGCATAGATAAGTCTATGCCCTCAGAGTTAGCAACCCTACCCCTCTCAACATGGAGGACCGCACACTTATCCGTCCCTAGCTCCATTCCAATAGAATTGCTAAATTCACAAGTGATGTTTAGCAATTCCATAAGATGGGAGCGACTGGAGGCGAATAATTTGAGGTCATCCATATAGAAGAGGTGGGTAACTTTTGTATCTCCTTTCCGAAGCTGAAATCCCCTCCCGGAACCCTCCAGTAAAGTACTGAGAAGGTTCAAAGAGAGGCAGAACCAGATTGGACTCAGACAGTCGCCCTGGAATATACCCCTTCTTATCCTTATGCGGCTTTCCGCAGCCGTCATCCGCTCGCCTAGATGACAGAGTATCGTACTCCACTGCCCCATACTCAGCTCGAGGAAGTCTCGAACTGTACAGTCAATCTTGTACAGCTCGAGGATCCTCTTTAGCCATGTATGGGGCACCGAGTCAAATGCTTTTCTGTAGTGACATCACCTGATTTAGCTCCAGGTGACGAGTGATTCTCGCGCTCAAAATGGATGTCAGTGTCTTATATATGGTGGGTAGACACGTAATGGGGCGGTATTTGCTCGAGTCTGTGGTAACCTGGTCTTTAGGAACCAAATGAGTGATCCCAGTAGTGAAGAGGCTAGGGAGCGACTTCTGGTTGAGAGCCTCTTGAAACTGACGGGCGAGCACAGCGTGACACACCATGAACCCCTTCAGCCAGTAGTGATGTAGCCCGTCGAGTCCCGGACATTTCCAGTTCGGGGCTCTACGGACCGCCTCAGCTACGTCATCCGGCGTTATGATGACGGGGTTCATGGGCGTAATACTCGCACACTGACTCGCCACAACTTCCGTCCAAGGGCCCTCGCTGTGGTTTACGGGCTTTGACCACAGGCCACGCCAAAATGCGACAGTGTTAGCCTGATCCGGTCCTGGGCCCGCTCCACATACCTCTGGTCGCTCCAATGATTTGTGGAGTCTCTTCTGACCACTCTGGAAGAGACGATTCTGGTTGAACCGCCTTGACCTCTCGGTAAATCGGCGAATCCGCTTCCCCCAAGCAGCAATCTTTTGCTTCAGGTCATCTATACGCTCCGTTAGTTTTTGCGTGATATCCGGCTGGAACAAACTGATATTTGTCCCAGCAAACGCCATCCTAACGGTGCGCATAATCCTCGGTCCATTATTACCCGACCTGAAGCTTGTCAGTCTGCCGATAAGGGCCCTTGCCTTTGCGATACGGTCCTCAATTCTTTTTCTCCAGGCTGGGATGGCGCTACTTTTTTGAGTAGCACGTCCAGCTACGGGAAGTTTGGCGCAAATAATACGGCATACTGCCAGTGCGGCGCCAAAAAGAATTGAATCCGTCTCGCAAAGGTCCCGGCTATTACTATTAATAATAATAATTATTATTATTGTGGGGTATCTATATAGTTTTCTCATCTGGTTGGGTTCTATAAATATATAATTATAAATGAAAATGAAAAGATAAATATACATAAATATCAATAACATAAAATAAATATAAAAATACATAAATAAATAAAAGCCCAACCAGATGGAGGCCCTCGGCAGGGGAGACCAAACGGCCGAGGGTTAGGGGGAAAGGGAAAGAAACCGGCGGACGATGCGGGCGGTATATAGGAGCACCGCCTTCTGCATTTGAGCCCGGAGCGGTCCGCCACGTAGTCCCAGTCGCCTCAGATGACCCGAGAGGCTGACTGGGATTAGCCCGTTTGCAGAGACGACTACAGGAATAATTTCGGTCGGCAGACCACCCCACATGTCAGTCACCTCGCGAGCCAGGTCCAGATATTTTGTTTGCTTTTCTGTTTCGGCTTGTTTATTTATTATTATTAATAATAATAATAATAATAATTATTATTATTATTAATATTAATATTAATATTATTATGGGGTATCTATATAGTTTTCTCATCTGGTTGGGTTCTATAAATATGTAATTATAAATGAAAATGAAAAGATAAATATACATAAATATCAATAACATAAAATAAATATAAAAGTACATAAATAAGTAAAAGCCCAACCAGATGGAGGCCCTCGGCAGGGGAGACCAAACGGCCGAGGGTTAGGGGGAAAGGGAAAGAAACCGGCGGACGATGCGGGCGGTATCGAGGAGCACCGCCTTCTGCATTTGAACCTGGAGCGGTCCGCCACGTAGTCCCAGCCGCCTCAGATGACCCGAGAGGCTGACTGGGATTAGCCCGTTTGCAGAAACGACTACAGGAATAATTTCGGTCGGCAGACCACCCCACATGTCGGTCACCTCGTGAGCCAGGTCCAGATATTTTGTTTGCTTGTCTGTTTCGGCTTTCACGAGGTTCTCGTCATACGGAATGGTAATGTCGACCAAAAATATCCTTGACCGTGCCCGGTCCATCAGCACAATATCAGGCTTATTCGCAAGAATAGTCCTGTCTGTTATGATGGCCCGGTCCCAATAGAGCCTGGCGCGATCATTTTCGAGCACGGCTTTCGGCAAGTACTTGTAATACGGCAATTTCCGATCCACGAGGCCGTATTTCAGAGCGAGCTCCTGGTGTAGAATTCTGGCTACTAGGTTGTGCCTGTGCAAGTACTCAGAGTTAGAAAGCGCCGAACAACCGGAGATAACATGCCTAAGTGACTCACCGGGATGGCGACAAGCTCGACAGATGTCGACGGTGCCATCCTTTAGGATGTATCTCCGATAGTTGTTGGTCTTAATAACCTGATCCTGTATTGCACAGACAAAACCCTCGGTTTCCACGAAGAGATCACCAAAGCGTAGCCAGTGGAGGGAGGCTACTGTGTCTACGAAAGGCTCATGTAGAGCCTTGTAGAACCTCCCGTGGAGCTCCTTCTCCTTCCATACGGTCTCCCGGTCGGAAATGCTCTGCACTGCCGGGTCTTGCCATTGCTCGTTGGCTAAGGATAGAGGGGTAAGTCCTTTATCACTAGAAATGACGTCCTTATAGAATGGATCATCCGATCTCGCCAGGAAGTAATCACGGAGGCTGCACACTTCGCGATTATGCATGGTGAGCGCGCTCAAGAAGCCACGACCACCATGCTTCCGCGGCAAGTACAGCCTCATTACCGACGATCTCGGATGATGCAGTAGTGCGGACTTTTCTATCCAGGGCGTTAAGTTCAGTCTGAGTCCACCTGAGTATGCCAAAGGTATACATGAGGACAGGCATGACCCAGCCGTTATATGCGTGTGCCATATTCACACCGGACAAAAAGCTGTTAAGCACTTTGGTCAAGCGTGCATAAAACACGTCGCAAACTGACTGTTTCATACCAGTATCATCGATACCGATGTTTTGTGACATACCCAGGTATCGGTATGTTTCAGCCTCGGAAAGGGTCCTTAAGTTGACGGGCATAGATAAGTCTACGCCCTCAGAGTAAGCAACCCTTCCCCTTTCAACATGGTGGACCGCACACTTATCCGTCCCAAGCTCCATTCCAATGGAATTGCTAAATTCACAAGTGATGTTTAGCAATTCCATAAGATGGGAGCGACTGGAGGCGAATAACTTGAGGTCATCCATATAGAAAAGGTGGGTCACTTTTGTCCCTCCTTTCCGTAGCTGAAATCCCCTCCCGGAACCCTCCAGTAAGGTACTGAGAGGGTTCAGAGAGAGGCAGAACCAGATTGGACTCAGACAATCGCCCTGGAAGGTACCCCTTCTTATCCTTATGTGGTTCTCCGCAGCCATCATCCGCTCGCCCAGATGACAAAGGATCGCCATCTGGGCGAGCGGAACTCCACTGCCCCATACACTGCTCGAGGAAGTCTCTAACTGTACAGTCTATCTTGTACAGCTCGAGGACTCTCTTTAGCCATGTATGGGGCACCGAATCGAATGCCTTTCTGTAGTCTATCCAGGCGGCGGAGAAGTTCCGACGGTTGCGTTTCACCACTTCGCCAATGACCGCGTCAATGAAGAGTGGTTCCTTGGTTCCACGACCACCGCCCCGACATCCATTTTGAGCGCGCGACATCACCTGATTTGAGTCCAGGTGACAAGTGATTCTCGCGCTCAAAATGGATGTTAGTGTCTTGTATATGGTCGGTAGACACGTGATGGGGCGGTATTTGCTCGGGTCTGTGGTTCCCTGGTCTTTAGGAACCAAATGAGTGATCCCAGTAGTGAAGAGGCTTGGGAGCGACTTCTGGTTGAGAGCCTCTTGAAACTGTCGGGCGAGCACAGAGTGACACACCATGAACCCCTTCAGCCAGTAGTGATGCAGCCCGTCAAGCCCCGGACTTTTCCAGTTCGGGGCCCTACGGACCGCCTCAGCTACGTCATCCGGCGTTATGATGACGGGGTCCATGGGCGTAATACCCGCACACTGACTCGCCACAACTTCCGTCCAAGGGCCCTCGCTGTGGTTTACGGGCTCTGACCACAGGCCGCGCCAGAATGCTACAGTGTCGGCCTGATTCGGTGCTGGACCCGTTCCACTTACCATTGGTCGCTCCAATGATTCATAGAGCCTCTTCTGATCACTCTGGAAGAGACGATTCTGGTTGAACCGTGTCGACCTCTCGGTATATCGCCGAATCCGCTTTCCCCAAGCAGCGATTCTCTGCTTCAGATCATCTATGCGCTCCGTCAGTTTTTGCGTTATATCCGACTGGGACAAACTGACATTTGTCCCAGCAAACGCCATCCTGACGGTGCGCACAATTCTTGGCCTATTGTTGCCTGATCTGAAGCATATCAGTCTGCCGATGAGAGCTCTAGTCTTTGCGATACGTTCCTCAATTCTTCTTCTCCATGCTGGGATAGCGCTACTATGGCCAGTAGCTCGTCCAGCCGTGGAAACCTTGGCGCCTATGATACGGCAGACTGCTAGCGCGGCGCCAAAAAGAATTGAGTACGTCTCGCAAAGGTCCCGGCTGGCTTCCAAAAAGGTCACCAGCATTGGGTTCAGAGCCCTCACGACAGCCCGATTCCGCTTACTTAGGGCTATGCGGGGAAGTCGCGGTCGATTTTCGAGAGGGTACGCTGAATCGACGCGCTTTCCACAATCGCCTCTTCCAATGTACTCCTCATATGCTCTAATTCCAGTTCCTGGGCGACTGTTCCATCATCGTTTGAATCAACCACAACTGGGGTATTCACGGCGGCATCCACGTTTGCGGGTTGCTCTACCATTTGTGGCGCCGCATCCTCAGCCGTAGCATTCTCATCCGACGAGGGAACAGCCTCACGTCGTAGCCGTTCGAGTTCGGCGACATCAAATATATTTGAGCGCAAGATATACCGAACTCGGTCTGCCAGGTTTAGCTCTGTGACGATTAAAGATGGCTCCAGCTCAGCAAAAAGACGATGCATCCTAGCCCGATACGCCAAACATCCAGTTTCTTCCCCTTTTGCCCTAAAGTACGCCCGCAGTGCGTTTGCATTCATTGCTTGTGACCAACGCATGCGACGTGCTCCACCAGCGGCGGGTGCCGCTTGCTGAGTCCGAGAGACCAGCGACAAGCCTGCTGGTGGGGATGATGGATGCGGAGGGCTGCTAGGTGACCGTGCAGCTCCTCGCGCTCGGCTGGCGGCGCGCATGCTGCCGCGTCCAGCGCCAGCTCCAGACGCGCCCCGGCGACCCCCAGGCAGCGGCCCTTTGCGCACTATCTTTTTATCCATCATCCATTATTTGGGCGTCCATTAACGGGAGACGCCCAGGCCCGGCACCGTTTCGTGTGTAGCCATAAGCACAAACGGGCCTCTGCACCCTAAATTCTGCCGAGGCACGGCGCTCACACCTCTCGCAAGGCGCTGACTGACTGCGCTGACGTAGCAGTTTTGTCACTTAACTGTTACGTCAGCGGGCGATGGGGTCGTCAATTCCCTACGCCTTTTTATTATGCTTTATGTATCTATATAGTTTTCTCATCTGGTTGGGTTCTATAAATATATAATTATAAATGAGAATGAAAAGATAAATATACATAAATATCAATAACATAAAATAAATATAAAAATACTTAAATAAATAAAAGCCCAACCAGATGGAGGCCCTCGGCAGGGGAGACCAAACGGCCGAGGGTTAGGGGGAAAGGGAAAGAAACCGGCGGGCGATGCGGGCGGTATCGAGGAGCACCGCCTTCTGCATTTGAGCCCGGAGCGGTCCGCCACGTAGTCCCAGTCGCCTCAGATGACCCGAGAGGCTGACTGGGATTAGCCCGTTTGCAGAGACGACTACAGGAATAATTTCGGTCGGCAGACCACCCCACATGTCAGTCACCTCGTGAGCCAGGTCCAGATATTTTGTTTGCTTGTCTGTTTCGGCTTTCACGAGGTTCTCGTCATACGGAATGGTAATGTCGACCAAAAATATCCTTGACTGTGCCCGGTCCATCAGCACAATATCAGGCTTATTCGCAAGAATAGTCCTGTCTGTGATGATGGCCCGGTCCCAGTAGAGCCTGGCGCGGTCATTTTCGAGCACGGCTTCCGGCAAGTACTTGTAATACGGCAATTTCCGGTCCACGAGACCATATTTCAGAGCGAGCTCCTGGTGTAGAATTCTGGCTACTAGGTTGTGCCTGTGCAAGTACTCAGAGTTAGAAAGCGCCGAACAACCGGAGATGACATGCCTAAGTGATTCACCGGGATGGCGACAAGCTCGACAGACGTCGACGGTGCCATCCTTTAGGATGTATCTCCGATAGTTGTTGGTCTTAATAACCTGATCCTGTATTGCACAGACAAAACCCTCGGTTTCCCCCGAAGAGGTCACCGAAACGTAGCCAGTTGAGGGAGGCGACTGTATCTACGAAGGGCTCATGAAGAGCCCTGTAGTACCTCCCGTGGAGCTCCTTCTCCTTCCATACGGTCTCCCGGTCGGAAATGCTAAGCACTGCTGGGTCCTGCCATTGCTCGTGGGCTAAGGATAGAGGGGTAAGCCCTTTATCACTAGAAATGACGTCATTATAGAATGGATCATCCGATCTCGCCAGGAAGTAATCACGGAGGCTGCACACTTCGCGATTATGCATGGTGAGCGCGCTCATAAAACCACGCCCACCATGCTTTCGCGGCAAGTACAGCCTCATTACCGACGATCTCGGATGATGCATCCTATGGGACGTCATGGTAGTGCGGACTTTTCTATCCAGGGCGTTAAGTTCGGTCTGAGTCCACCTGAGTATGCCAAAGGTATATATGAGGACAGGCATGACCCAACCGTTATACGCGTGTGTCTTATTCACACCGGACAAAAGGCTGTTAAGCACTTTGGTCAAGCGTGCATAAAACACGTCGCAAACTGACTGTTTCATACCAGCCTCATCGATACCGATGTTCTGTGACATACCCAGGTATCGGTATGTTTCAGCCTCGGAAAGGGTCTTTAAGTTGACGGGCATAGATAAATCTATGCCCTCAGAGTTAGCAACCCTTCCCCTTTCAACATGAAGGACCGCACACTTATCCGTCCCCAGCTCCATTCCAATGGAATTGCTAAATTCACAAGTGATGTTTAGCAATTCCATAAGATGGGAGCGACTGGAGGCGAATAACTTGAGGTCATCCATATAGAAAAGGTGGGTCACTTTTGTTCCTCCTTTCCGTAGCTGAAATCCTCCCTCCCGGAGCCCTCCAGTAAGGTACTGAGAGGGTTCAGAGAGAGGCAGAACCAGATTGGACTCAGACAATCGCCCTGGAAGATACCCCTTCTTATCCTTATGTGGTTCTCCGCAGCCATCATCCGCTCGCCCTGATAACAGAGGATCGTACTCCACTGCCCCATACACTGCTCGAGGAAGTCTCTAACTGTACAGTCAATCTTGTACAGCTCGAGGACCCTCTTTAGCCATGCATGGGGCACCGAGTCGAATGCTTTTCTGTAGTCTATCCAGGCGGCGGAGAAGTTCCGACGGTTGCGTTTTACCACTTTGCCAATGACCGCGTCAATGAGGAGTGGTTCCTTGGTTCCACGACCACCGCCCCGACATCCATTTTGAGCGCGTGACATCACCTGATTTAGCTCCAGGTGACGAGTGATTCTCGCGCTCAAAATGAATGTCAGTGTCTTATATATAGTGGGTAGACACGTGATGGGGCGGTATTTGCTCGGGTCTGTGGTATCCTGATCTTTAGGAACCAAGTGAGTGATCCCAGTAGTGAAGAGGCTCGGGAGCGACTTCTGATCGAGAGCCTCTTGATACTGTCGGGCGAGCACAGCGTGACACACTACGAACCCCCTTCAGCCAGTAATGATGCAGCCCGTCGATCCCCGGACTTTTCCAGTTCGGGGCCCTACGGACCGCCTCAGCCACGTCTTCAGGCGTTATGGTGACGGGGTCCATAGGCGTAACACTTGCACTCCGGCTCGCCACAACTTCCATCCAAGGGCCCTCGCTGTGGTTTACGGGCTCTGACCACAGGCCACGCCAAAATGCGACAGTGTCAGCCTGATCCGGTCCTGGGCCCGCTCCACATACCTCTGGTCGCTCCAATGATTTATAGAGCCTCTTCTGATCACTCTGGAAGAGACGATTTTGGTTGAACCGCCTTGACCTCTCGCTAAATCGTCGAATCCGCTTCCCCCAAGCAGCGATTTTTTGCTTCAGGTCATCTATGCGCTCCGTTAGTTTCTGCGTGATATCCGGCTGGGACAAACTAATATTTGTCCCAGCAAACGCCATTCTAACGGTGCGCACAACTCTCGGTCTAATATTACCCGACCTGAAGCTTATCAGTCTGCCGATAAGGGCCCTTGCCTTTGCGATACGGTCCTCGATTCTTTTTCTCCAGGCTGGGATGGCACTACCTTGTTGGGTAGCACGTCCAGCCATGGAAGTTTGGCGCCAATAATACGGCATACTGCCAGTGCGGCGCCAAAAAGAATTGAGTCCGTCTCGCAAAGGTCCCGGCTGGCTTCCAAATATGTCACCAGCATTGGGTTAAGAGCCCGCACGACAGCCCGATTTCGCTTGCTAAGGGGTATGCGGGGGAAGTCGCGGTCGATTTTCGAGAGGCATGCTGCGCGTTTCCAGCATCGACTCTTCCAATATGCTCCTCATTTTCTCTAGTTCGTGGGGGACTATTCCATCATCGTCTGAATCAACCACAAATGGAATATTGACGGCAGCGTCCACATTTGCAGTTTGCTGCGCAATTAGTGGCGCCGCATTCCCAGCCGTAGCATTTCCATCCGATGAGGGAACAGCCTCACGTCGTAGTCGTTCGAGTTCGGCGTCACCAAATATGTTGGAGCGCAGGATGTACCGAACTCGGTCTGCCAGGTTTTGCTCAGTGACGGATAGAGATGGCTCCAGCTCTGCAAAAAAGCGATGCATCCGAGCCCGATATGCCAAACATCCGGTTTCTTCCCCTTTTGCCCTAAAGTACGCCCGCAGTGCGTTTGCGTTCATTGTTTGTGACCAACGCATGCGACGTGCTCCACCAGCGGCGGGTGCCGCTTGCTGAGTCCGAGAAGACCCAGCCGACACCAAGCCTTCTGGTGGGGATGATGGATGCGGAGGGCTGCTAGGTGATCGTACAGCTCCTCGCGCTCGGCTGGCGGCCCGCATGCTGCCGCGTCCAGCGCCAGCTCCAGACGCGCCCCGGCGACCCCCAGGCAGCGGCCCTATGCGCGTTCCTCTTTGTACCATCATCCATTTATGGGCGCCAAATAACGGGAGACGCCCAAGCCCGGCACCGTTTCGTGGTTCGGTCTTATGCACAAACGGACCTTTGCACCCACAATTTTGCCTAGGCACGGCGCTCACACCTCTTGGCAGGGCGCTGACTGACTGCGCCGACGTAGTAGTTTTGTCACATAACTGTTACGTCAGCGGGCGATGGGGTCGTCACTTCCCTACGCCTTATTATTATTATTATTATTATTATTATATACCATAACATTCATCTTGGGTAAACTATAGACGTCCGGTATTCGCTAACGGTGTTGGAGGGGGGAGGGGGTCATGTGAAACCCCCCTACCCTTCCCCGTAGCGGAATTGTATAGTTTATGAGTAATAATTTTTTTGTACAATCATAAGCTCACTTTTTTGTATAGGAATATTGACGCAAAGTTACTTCTGCAACGGCTTCGGCACTGCGAGAAGCGCAGCACCTTTGTCCTTGCGTAGCAAATCGCACGCACCTAAGTGAGACGTAGTGGCTGAGGCTGGTCGCCGAAGGCGACCAATAAGCCAAAGCTGCGGAGACGAGGGCTGCTCTCCCTCCGTGCCTACGGCTTTACAAAAACACTAGGGGTAGGACAGACAAGAACTATCTGGCGTCGGGTTGTGCTAATTCGGTTTTAGAACTGATTTGACAATTTTTATCTATAAAGTCTGGTTGCCCTAAACTCTGCTATAAATAGTGGTAAATGAAATAATGTAACGCGAATTGTTATAATTTTGTATCTGAAAAACCTTGACTGTCCTCCACTGCGACTCAATTTGTTTTATATAAGTCCCGTCTCCAGACACAAATGGATTGTCTGGGTATTAGTGACAAACTTTTTATGAGTGTATCTGTGTTAAAAAAAGAAATTGACATATTTGTGTTTCGTTATTACAGAATTTTTAGTGCAATTTGTTTTTATCGTAATTAATTCAAAACATATTTCCGACATCTAAAAACTGTGTAATAGGTTCAAGCTTAACCCTTACAAGCCTCCTAGACTAAAAACATTATCAAAATCAAAAACCGGATGTCTATAACTAACCCTTTATCTTTAATTTAAGTTTTAAACAGCTTGTATTATAAATGATAGTGAACAATGTGGTAAAGTTTTATATTTTTTCAGGTTACAGCGGCCAACTTTTGTGTAATGGTTGTTATGTGAGAGCTAACAGAGAAGTGCCTCGAATAAATATTGTTGATTCTAACAGATTTGAAAACATAGAAGGAAACCAAGCTGTTCAAGAAATTCAGGTACTAAATCCCCCACCTCTCCCCCTAGACCAGCAGTAAGTAACATTCAAGATGTATTAACAATTATTGTCCTGCTGAATTGTAGACGTTGTGCTAATACATCTAGAAGTTGTGTATTTGATGGCTGTCAGCGTAGTGCAGGTCATTTAGTGCCTACCTTGATTAAATCAGCATTGTTCTTGTGCCAAGTGAAAATTTTTGCGGTAAACTTTATGTGCCTCAAAGTGCCAGGGTATGTGAAGAACATTTACATTCCAATTAATGGGAATTATTATTAGAGAACACAAGTTTAACTAATACTTTCACGGTAAATCAAATTGAAAGCTTGTTAGATAATAAAAGTGAAGAAAATGTTATTGATTTCGAAAATATGGAATCAATTCCTACTAATGTATGTCACTATTGGACAGGGCACACTAAACAGGAATTCATAGAAATGCATAATAGCATACCAATACAGTCTGTTGTTCCAAAAAATTCAAAAACCTCATTAGCAATGCTTTTAATCAAATATAGGACTGGCGATAGCGATACTAGAATATCTAATATTTTTAGGATTTCTAAATCAACTTTACAGAACAAGATGAAGCTTGTGAGAAACTCTGTATAATCACTTTGTTCCGCTACATCTTGGAGCGTCCACATATCTTACCAAGAAGTGGCAGAAAGAAACACCACTATACCTGAGAAGTTATATGGAAATCCTAAGCCTGATTCCTCTAACAGGTAGGCTATTGTACAATGGGATGGTACCTACCTCCATGTGCAAAAGAGTTCGAATTACAAATACCAAAAAAAGGCATACAGTCTTCATAAATATCATAACTTAACAATACCAATTTTAGTAGCCTGTTGTGATGGATATATTATATATGTGTTTGGACCTTTTGCTGCAATTCAAACAGATGCAAAAATATTGAGTTATTTAGTTTCTAGTAAAGGAGGCTTGATTCAATACAATAATCAAAATGATGTATTTATTTTAGACCAAGGCTTTAGATATTCTATTTCCAATTTAGAAGCTCTTGGTTTCACAGTACATAAACCTGAAACCAGAAATGAAGTTCAAACACATTTATCGACTCTACAAGCTAATAAAAGTAGATGTGTTTCATTTTGTAGATGGGTTGTGGAAGTAGGTAATGGCAGGTTTAAGCATAATTTTAAACTTTGTAGCTATATTAGTAGTATTGTACTAGTAGCACGAATGGGTTGGCTCGACCAGGAAAGGACCACGCTCTCACAGGATACCAGCGTGAAATAGTAGCTTAATGCTGCTATGTTTCATATGATAAGTGTAGAGAACCGGAGACCCTTTTTACTGGAAACAAGGCATTCCATCTTAGTCCTTACTGGTGACAATGCATCTGTATTTTGATTTGTAATCGAGGATGTATGTAGATGTCTGTGGGCCGCAGCAACCACTTACCATCAGGTGAACTGTGTGCTCGTTTGTCACCCTATCCTATAAAAAAAACGAAACATATTTTTCAACTTATCTTCTGCACATTTGATGGAAGATTTAAGGGTTGCTGCTGCACTAATAAATAAGTTTCACAAAGTGATAGAAAATCCCGAAAATGCAGATGAAATGGCTCAAATAGCAACAACAAGGTTTAATTTAAATAGACGAATAGTGTTAATGTTAATTTATAAGTGTTGATGCAAGCCTGCCGGAACTTAATACTTTTCCACATTTAGATATAAGTGATTTGAAATTAATTTCCTTATTACCTTAATAGGTGTTACAGGTTCGCTCAAATTATGGTGAACACGCCTGAGGAACTTGTAATCATAAGAGGTAATCACCCTGTCCTATTAAGAGGTCGCATTAAATCAAGACATATTTCTAGGCGTGAGTATTATACTTATATTTTTATATAATGAGCAACCATCAAATCAAAACCAACTGAGAGATGCAATCTTAGGTTATTAGTGTAATTGTGTAGCTGGTAACCGGACTGTTGGATGTGGTGCACATATAATGACTGTTCTGTGGTGCTCGGGATGGGCAAGATACCGAGAAGGTATTATTCCACCAGCTGCATTTCTTGATAATTTACTAATAAATAACATTAAATGATTAAATGCACAAAATAATGCGAGAGAAAGTCTTGTTTACTTCTCCTATAAATCCAAAATTCTACAAGCGGTACATAGACGACACTTTCACAACTCTTCCTTTAGATAAAGTAACTGCATTTTTAGACCATCTCAACTCTATAAATTCTAAAATTCAATTCACAATGGAGTTAGAGCCAAACAATTTTTTAGCTTTTCTAGATGTGTTAGTAATTCGGAATCCTGATAACACCTTGAGCCATACTGTGTATAGAAAAAAGACCCATACAGATAGATATTTAAACGGTGATTCTCACCACCATCCTTCACAGTTAGCTACCGTGGGTAAATCTTTGTTTCAGAGAGCACGAGGGATCTGTGACAGTAAACACCTGGCTGCCAAGCTCCAACATGTCAAGCAAATGTTGCATGACAACAAGCTTCGGGTCCCGCGCCTACATCACAGTAAATGAGTGAATCCGGTCACAGTTGAGCTTGTACCTGCTGTACTGCCATATGTCAGAGGAGTGACTGACAAGATTGGCTACATGTAATTGTTTATTTTCTGTCCGATATACTTCGATCAATAATAGTATTAATATAGCTATGTTAAATAAAATAGTAGAAAAAAACTGCTCCTGCATCATGCATATACATTAACTTACATAAGTACATAACATTCATGAATTGGAACTTTATTAATATCTACATTGTGTAATTATGATAAAAACTGTAACCAAAATCAACTTTTTTATATCTTCATAACTTTGTCCACTAGTGCGTAGCTACATGCACCTTTCTAAATCTTTGTATAGAAGATCTGTACTTTCAAATGACATAGATTTCATCTCTGTACAGTCTGGGGCACCGGTTCATACAATTTTTGGCCATCTCCTTTGTTACTAAAGTTGTTTAATGTGTCCTAAAATGGGGCATAGGATACTTTAAAAAATAAACATGCGTGAAGATTAATTTACCCCATTGAAGCGATTATGGTAACCGCTAGTATATGATGATTTTCATTTATATTAGCTCTTAATCTAAATATCCTATACCAGCCATTAACCTATGCCAAAAATAATCAAGAGTATTGCATATTTTTAATATAAGTGTAAAAATAGAGGATTAAGAGTAAATAAACATTACGGTTTAAGACAAGAAACGGAATTTCTTAATAAGTCAGCACTTGAAAGAGAAAAATGTGAAATAAACCTGTCTGAAGTCAAGAGTTCACTTATTTGTTCAATTTTCTTAAGCGCGCAAGAAATTTATTACGCTTGTTGATATAGATATTGAAAAAACAACAGGAGTGAGTGCATTTTAACCTAATATTAATTATATAAGATATAAAGTGATTAGGTTGCTGAGGAACGTAGACACTTACCTTTGCTCTTTCTTTCCTCGATTAAGTATCGCAAAATGTAGATGCATTGTCAACCTTGAAGAATAAGACAGAATGCCTCTTTAGCAGGTAAAAGGGTTTCTAGTTCTCCACACACGCGATACGAAACACAGCAGCATTAAGCTGCTATTTACTCTGTTATTTTGTGAGATCGAGGTCCTTCACCTGTTTGCCTGACCTATCCCTGCTGCAACTAAAATTAATCCGCAATCGTGCTCTTAACAAGAGCGCATTATAATTTAAAGTCCCTTCCATCTGTCTAC